AGCGAAACTCCGTCTCAAAAAAAAAAAAAAAAAAAGTTCTTTTTTCCCTTTTAGAAGAAAAATGCTGATTTTGTTTAAGCCCTCTCCCTAACACCCACTCTATCCTGTGAGCCAGCTCTTCCCTCAGTCATTCTGAATCCCAGTAATTGTTAGTAGTAGTAGTCTTGTTTTAATACCATTTATTTTAAACTGCTCTTTCTTTCGCTATATTATGGATCAAAAATCCGTTGAATCAACCTTTTCTATTCTTCCAGGGAGCTGTTACCTTGATACCCTCTTGAGGTTTTCTGGTTGGTTTGTTTGTTGTTTTTTTAAATGGTCCTGACCTGATCAGGCAGTTCCTTCATGTTTATAATCATGGTTAGGATCAAAAGCAAAGGGATACAGAAATCAGTAAATGGTTTCCTTTGTGTACTAATTGGTAATTCAAATGTAGCACAGATCAGCAGACCAAAGAAGAATGTATCTCTTTCAGTAGATCAAAAATAAAAACAGCAAGTAAGCTTAAATAAGAGTATTTGTGTTAAGGAAGCCCCTCATTTCTTGTGTTCATGGGTCAAGGTGTGAACGGTGAAAAAGAGACTTCCAGATTTTAAAATCAAGAGTGTGGCAAGACTGGGTGCCTTTGTTTTGTGTTTCTCCTCCAAAGGCTTTCTTTTTTTTTTTCTTTTTTTAAAAAAAAACTAACAAATTAGAGTTGTGATTTGGTTTTTCTTCATGATTATGTTTACTTATTTATCTGTTTGTCCTTGAAGACCTTAACTGAGACAGGTTATGAGAGCTCTCACAAGGTAACGTGCTTAGCATGCTGTGAACGCCAACAGAAAGGGCCCACTCTAGCAGCACCCCAGCATTTGCCAGCACCAGAGAGAGCAGGTTTCTGTCTAGGTTCTGGCAAACAGTGCTTTGCTTTGGACTGGTTCCTTTCTTGCCCTTGAAAAACTTTAACAGGTGACCTCTTGCCTCACAGCATTTTTTTATTCAGTGAGCGCTGGTTCAGCCCTTACCATATGTCACACAGTCCGCAGATCCCGGGGATGCAAGGATGACTAAACATGTCCTTGCCACCAGCAGCTCACAATCTGATAAGCTCAGATTTGCTGAGAGGGTCCAAAATCCACTGGCCAGAGCAGATGTGTCTGAGCCTGTGAAATGTTCTCCAGCCCTGGCCTGCATCACAGCCGAGGTGACAGAGGCACTCCTGAGTGGCACTGAGCCCTGGCCTCTGCCAGAGGTGGATGCCCGTGCTCATAGGCCTGCTGTGGAGTGTGAGAGGCTAACTACTGGTTAATCATGTGATGAATTGCCTGCCAATAGCCATGTTGTGGGTTCCCTCTAATATGCATGTGTTGACTCAGTATGAATTTTTAGCTGATTGTTTCAGTTTTTATTTCCAAAAAGTAAGCCATTTTTCTTTTTTTTTTAATATTTATTTATTCGGCCGGGCGCGGTGGCTCAAGCCTGTAATCCCAGCACTCTGGGAGGCCGAGGCGGGTGGATCACGAGGTCAAGAGATCGAGACCATCCTGGTCAACACGGTGAAACCCCGTCTCTACTAAAAATACAAAAAATTAGCTGGGCATGGTGGCGC